AGTACCTTTGCACGTCTTTCCATCGCTCTCCAACCTGTAGTTAGCAAAGCATGCACAAGTTGGTTGGCCTTCACTTCCTTTGAAGCAAAATTGTGAACAGCCATGACCAGACAAACATGGATTTGTGGCTAGAAAAGAAGAGTTATCATACGTATTACTGACTACTGGTTATGCATTGTTGATTATTGGTCCAAAACCTTTCTAAGATCTTGGCATATAGGAGAGCTCGCTTTGAAGGCCACTGCTTCAGAACCAAAGATCAGCCGGACCATTTCTAACATTCTTCTCCAGAGACTTTCACGCCCGAGTCGAGGAAGCACACCCCTCACGTATCCTAGCATAATTACAAGAGATACCAGGCTCATCTTAACTGGGGAGAGCAATGACAAATGTGGCAAAACAGGAGGGGGTGGGGGGGGCATCGATCTCGAATGTAGTCGAAGGATGATGATAATAGCTAATTTTATACAGGGAAGAAAATTTCATGACATGTACCACCTTTCACTTGGTATCAATAATTGCCACACTTCTAGTCAGAAATAATTTCTCTCTGATAACACTTACCCACACAATTTGTCCAGTCAGCGGGATCTATTTCAAAATACTGGTTACAAGAACAGGTGTAACTCCCCTGATTGTTCACACACAGCTGTGTGCAGTTATTTCGTAACTCACATTCATTGATATCTACGTAAAAAAAAACAGCAGGGTGATGAATAGTCAAAGAAGCAATTACCACACTCGTACGTTAACGTATAACATAACTGTCGTATCAGTTATAATCAGGACCTCACCTCCAGTGTCAGATTACTGACCGGCTTAGCAGGAAGCGCATGATTGTCGCGCCAAAACTTTTCCAGAAAAACGCGCATTATTTGTATTTTTAGCAAACCGTATTCCCGCGTCCATTCCTTAATTCCGCTATTGGGAGCAGAATGAACATAGAGGAACCCAAAAGATCACGAATACCTTCCACTCCCATTTCGGAATAGTCCCGAAAAAACGTACCCCTTGTTGATAAAATGCAGAAAGCGCATCCGTCCGAGAGCGTCAAAGAACGTTGGTGAACCGGTCTGTTAAGTTACTGTGAAACAAAACGGGTAGCCATTGTTGTATCATCCCAACGCTTATTTGTACGGACGGATTCAGTATTTAAAATCGGAGCAAAACTTGTTAAAATTATACGCTTAGTTTGAGTCCCGAAAAATAGCACTTCAGGACATTAACGCAGAGATGATGAACTTTCTGTTGTAATGTTGTAAGGTATTCAAATTCAAACCTCCAACTCATGGTATGAGACTTACCGTCACAGCTTCTTCCATCGTCATTGAGCTTGTATCCTTCACGACAATCACATAAATAGGACCCCGGGACATTGACACAGATTTGTTCACAGTTGTTTGAATTATTGCTCTGGCATTCATCGAATTCTACGAAAATAAACATAATTTAAAACTTCACTGCGTTAAAACAGGGGTTTCCATAAAGGAGCTCGTAGAGTGTTGACCCTTCAGGTCAATGAGGCAACAGTTAAAGTTGAAAAATCCTATCTGTATCACAATAATGATTTTCAAACTCTTTGCTTTCTTCCCTTTTTCTAATTTTTAAAGATAACCAGATGAGGTGCTAAAGTACCTATAGCTACCTCCACTTCGCAATTTCTTTAGTTCGAATGCAGTTTGATACAAAACACTCTTTGCCCATATTCTTGAGAGAAAATTGAGGTAAAAATATCACTTGCTTGGTTTCGATCTAATAAACTGATGCTTTGTGATTCCCTCCACACACCTGCACACTGGGCGCCACTTCCGGTATAACCGGTTGGACAAGGTCCGCATGTGTATCCACTGGCATTAGCTGGAGGAGGAAGATCAATGCACTCCACACCTGCGTAACACGGCTGACCATTCATCTCGCAGGCGTCAATGTCACTGTCACAGAACCTTCCTGTGTAACCTCCCTGACATGCGCATCCCATGTAAACAAATCTACTATCAGTGTTGACTGGGTCGCCTTCATCTGGTGAGACGCACTGTCCACCATGAGAGCAGACGCACATATTAATCGTGGGACTCCAGGTTGTGCTCGCACCTTTGTCGTCAGTAGCAACAAACGATAAGTTGAACTGTGAACAAATATAAACAAAACAAATATAACTTCAAGGATGTAGAACTCTATGTGGAATGTTTTAGTACTTGCAAATTGAAATTTGGTTACTGGCACCGCCTACCTTTCGTGTTGATGTAACAAGCCAAGTGAAATGAAGCACGTTTCCACTTTGGTTCACCGTGGCGCCTGGGGGTACGTTAAACACTCTAAATGTAATCGTATCGGTGTCTTCCGCTATGATGTCCAACTGAACAGTTGAATTATAGGTGGCGTTTATTGAGCTTGAATTGTTTATTATCTTGGGTGGAAAATTGTCTGCGCAACGAGGTAAGAAAACACAACAGCAGAGTTACCAACTTTAAGTACCAAATTCCACTATTAGAATTTTGTCTTACAACACCTAGCTCTTCAGCTGACATCTGTACAGTTATACACAACTGCCTTTCACACAACACATTGAAGAACGAATGTATACATGTGTTGCAAGGGTTTAATAGGGAGACTTTCAGGTATATAGCCGTCCTTCTGGATAAAGGACTGCGATTGCTATGACAATAGAGCCATCGGTACAAATAATGCTGCTGCCCAAACGAAACATACCTATTATACACATTTTCATCTACAGCATTTGAATTGCTTTGTTTAAATAGTGTTTAGTGTCAGTGCTTTCAGATCATTAAGTTTTTCAGAAACCCTTTTATTACCCCGCGAGATTGGAATTCGATTAAGAATATATTGTATCATTGAACAACTTTGAGAACCGTTTTATTCTTTTATGCAATAGCATGTTTTCTTCTTGACGACCAAGCCAAATCCTAGGGGGGCGGGGAAATGTGACGGTACATAACCAAGGTTTTCTTATAATCGTATGAATGCCTCTACTTACCAAGAATGTTTGACTCATTGACCAACTGAATATTAATATCTTTTGTTACCATGCCAATAGACAGGTCTCTTGTGGATGCCACGTCAAACAAGCATTCATAATCATCTCCACACTGAGCTTCAGCTTTGAGCCTTAAGCTGTCGTTATGCCACTTGATGTTATCAGCAAACATGGGCTCGAAATCCAGCTTAGCAAACGTGTCCACGCTTTCATTTTTAGCGTAGGCGAATAAGGACTGGGATTGATTAATTTGCCCTAAAACAATGCAAAATAACCTCAGCAACTGAGAAAAAATAACTGACTTATCACCCTAAAAGGCGGCAGCTACAACAATTACATTTACTCGGAGTAAATCAGTGTGAGTAAGTTGTAAGCTCAAATTACATCTTTTGGGTTTGCACTCAAAGGAGATATCAATCTTCGCTTTTACGTGTCATAATTACATTGAACTATATAATTCATAAATTGCAATCACTCATTTCACTATACCCTTTCTGGGTAATTACAAAACCCTCCTCGTCAGTGTCTAGTCCTGGTTAAATCAACAATTGAAAATCTGAAAAAGTGATTGACAATGGCATAGAAATGTGTACTTACACTTAACACCAAACTTGAAATGAATCTCTCTAAACGATGAGGAGGATTGTAGAACCGTCCCATCAGGCAACGTGTAGTCGTCATCCGGGTTATCATTCCAAGTTCCCAGCAAACCTTTCGTGGCATTCTTATAATCATCTCCAGGAGTTACAACGAAGGACAGCATTTCTTTCTTCTCACAGAATTCGACGGCCGTCGTTGATGGGAAAGAAACCTCCAGACAGTTTTCTTTAGGTTTTAAGAAAGAGATATTACCTCCAACGCTTACACTTTGGTTTGTTAGATTGCTATAACCACTGTAAACTACGCGGTCAATGAAAATGCTGATACCACCTAGAACCAACAGAGCAAAAAACAATTAAATTATAAGAAAAATACCATCCCTAATGAAACTGAGGTAAGTTATGCTTCCAAAATAAACTAGAAGCGGGAGAATTATGCCCTTGTTGGAGAAATTTTTTAGTGACCGCAATTACTCGCAAATCGCCAGCAACAGCGTCAGTCTAAAATTACAGATTCGGAACATGTCATTGTCAATACTGCAAATTTGATGGAGATGGGGTTAGCAGTTACTACTAGCTGTCAGAACAAACCTTGAGGGTAATAAGTTTAAGTGAATGACCAGGGTTTTGTCCTCATACGTCTTATAGCAATTAACGTATCAGTAAAATTTATGCTTACTTTGAAAGAGTCTTATTTTTAAAATCAGCCAGTTTGGAATTAGATGAAAATTTGTTTGTTTCATTTGCTGTCGCCCATGATCTTTTATCACTGAGGTGGCGAATTATTTGCCATTTCTCAAAGATTCCCTCACCTCCTTTCTTCACTTTCACTTCAACAATGCTGGTGTTTTCTTCTTTAGCAGCCCCAGCTGTAAAAATAGTAGCCGTTGTTGAATTCCCCTGCGCAAGGCCTGTCCTGGCCTGGAGCTGAAAAGTTCCGTTTTGTGCATCGATCATGACGTACTCTCCAAGGCCATTAAATGTGTAATTCCCACCATCCAGAGTCTTGAAATGAGGATCGCAACAGAACCAACCTACGCAATAAACGAAAAAAGGCCGTTTAAAAGGCGAGCGAGGTAAAGTTTAAAACAGCCGGTGAGTCACTAAGTCAGTTATAGCTAGCCGGTCACTTAGTCCGCAAAACGTCGGTCAGTTTGTCTCCCATTTACGGTCAGTTATCCATCCATTCATTCATTCGTTCATTCATTTATTCATTTATT